GATGTTAATTTTTTTCATTACCTGTATGGCCTTAAAAGCACCAGCCAATATATTCTGATTTTCAGAAGTTGCCAGCACAACTGCCAAAGGTACACCACCTGCATGACATCTTCCTAGCAATATAAAAAATCTAGTGCCATCTCGATCTACACCTCCACTAGAATCTATAAAGCAAGATTCTCCTAATTCAGGCATTAAAGAAATACGTAGCATCATTTTAGTGACCAATACAATGGCTACCTGTAAAATGTTGACTTAAAAAATCATTTGGTAAAATTAAATATTTAAAATGTTCCCACAACTCCTTTAATACTTATTAGAATTTTATTGAGATATATATCTTTTTATGAAGTTGAGAATAAAATTATCAAAGTAAAATAGATACCTACCTGATCCCCATCTTCAACAATTTTACAACAGCAGTCCTTTTCTAAAGCTAATTTTTTAATTAGGTCTGCTTGTTTAATGTTACTTAAACTGCTGCTTCCATAATTAGAATTTGCTACTTTTTTGTGAAGACGATAGACCCATTGATAGTTTGGACTCAAACTATTGTCCGAAAGAATTACTTCATAACCATCTGGGTTTTCTAAAATTATGTCTAAATTATGAGCTTGAATGCTTGAAGCTGGGGTATGTCCACTCTGAAAAAGTTTTAAGAACTTTTCTTCAACTATTTTAGATGGCTTTCGAAACCTTAATGAATCAGCAGCCAGAATTGGATGATTATGGTTAAATCGAACTGTAATCAAAGTATATGTATTAAGGCAATCCAACAAAGGCCTTGTTTTTTTCATTTGAATCTTTGCAGGACATTGTGTATTTTTTGACCCATATTTAAAATTTTCTTTATCAGGCAACTTTCCATATGTGTTATGATGACAGGTAGCATATATACTTCTCTCATATAACTGCCCCTTACAGGACTTATTTCTAATCTACAAAATTAGAAAATATAATTTAACATGTTGATATTACTGTGTATGTATATATACATATATATATATGTAATTGTATACTTTTGTTAAACATATTGATTATATTATATATTGCATACACACCGTGTAATTTGTTTTAGTTATATTTTCAAACTCTTTTAACCAGGTTTCAAAATCTTTTGCTTCACATTCGACTTTGATTTCAAAACTTAAATTCTGTCCAATATCATTCACCGTTGTTATAGTTGTGGGAAAAGTTAGGGGCAACATCTGTAAATACAATAGGTAGGTATACCTTATATATGCTTTTTATATGATAGTTTTGTCATAGATATTAACATAAGAAGAACACAAGTATTTAATTTATGAAGGGAATACCTATAATTACTTAGTTTATATTGATATAAATAAAGTTTCTGTCTGCAAGAATGTTAAATATTTAAAAGCATATTAACTTCTTACGATAAAGAATTCAATATTAAATTGTTTAACATAACACTTACCTCTTGAATTCCATCTTTATCCATAATTACTAATAAAACAACAAAAACTTTGTAATAAAATAACAAAAACTTTGTAAACGAAAAACTTCTTGGGTTAGGAATAACCAGAATGACAGAATAACTGTCAATTGGGCTATGAAATGCGCAGGCGGGAATCACCAGGACTCGTCAGGCGGTGGGACTCGGGCGGACGCTTAAGAAAAACATTTCTGCTAGCGGCATAGCGGGCCGAGTGTGCGTAACAAGGAGCGTCAAATATGTGACAGTGGCGTATCTATATGATTTATTATCTATGAGTTAAATCAAATTTTGAACTGTGCAGCTATGGATCTAGGTATATATTACTTATTTTTTATTATTAGGGATTTATAATATCAATAATCAGTAACAGGCTATAGATATAGAAATTCACTTGGTGTTATTAAATATGGACAATATTTATTAAGCAAGAAGTATGGTAATCGAGCAATATCGGGTGCACTATCAATATTTGTTTTGTTTTATAACGTCTACAGATTACTGATGTGCCTTTATTTATTGCCCCAATTTGCCTGTTCTACAGGGTGTAACCAAAAACCGACGCACTCCTTCTCCACTAGTAAATTTTGGAATATAGTTGAAATTTGGGAGTAATACTAAAGAGTTAATTTATAATTATTTTAACCTTCAATGGATACCACCCGGTATCCGGTTTCCCCGGAAATAATGCCAACTTTCGTTTTCTCAATAAAATACTCTGCATATTTTTGTATATTTCAAATCAGGAGAAAATTTTGAATTCAATACCCAAGCAGCATTTTTAGTAAAAGCGTAGAGCTTTAAGGCAATATTACTTAATTTAAGTGAATATTTTGTTAAATTTACCTTAAAAATTTACTTTGAAGTAAAACTATCTTTAAAGTTATTTAATAAGTTATATTTATGTTATTTTTTCCTATTTTAATAACCCTTAAGTCTCAACACTTTAAAGTATTATGAGGGACGTAATTTTTACGAAAGAAAATTACTTATAAGTGTATTTCACCTAAAGGATAATTTAACGGTAATTTTAACATCAGAATTTTTACTTAATGGTAAATGTTACTCATAAGTCATAATTTTACGATATTAAGACCACTTTATAACCGTAAATAATTCCTATTCGCCTGGTATTTTTTAGGGTTATTAGTGGTAATAAATACTATTAATATTGACTAAACAAGGAAAAATAAGCTTAAAGTAAAAAATAAAACTTTAAGGGAACATTTTTTTCAAGATGGCATCCATTACTTAACTAAACATTTATATAATATTTTTTTCATAAATATTTTTCTAAAACGTAATAAGAAAAGTTTTAGTTATTAAAAAATGATTAAAACTAAATAATTTTTAAAAGATTTTATAAAATTTTGTAGGTTTTAACTTTTGTTGAATTTTTACCCAAGCAATAATTTTTCTTAAAACCGTAGAATATTTAGAGGGCATATAATTTTTAAGATGTATCGTGCGTATTTTTATCAATAAAATAATGTGCGTTTGAGTTTTAATGCAAAATATTATTAGTTTTGACAATTTAAGTTGGATATAATTTTTAATTTTACTCTAGGGTGGCCTTTATTACTTTGTAAGTACCATTTTGTAAAATATAAATTAAAAGAACAAAGAAATTACGAATGTCAATGTTTAAGAAAGAGAGAGAGCAAACAGTTAGTAATTATAGCGTTATTTTTACGTAAATTTGTGGTATTTATATTGTTTTTATTACGTTATTCTCTTAGTAGATAAAACGGTTATTACCTATGTAGGTAAAATAACGAAATAAACCATTCCCCAAATTTGGTAATTTTTCGTATCTACCGTTATAAAACCGTTTTGGTTAACCGTAAAAAATACTTTAAAGTTGACTTAGTAGTAAATTTGTAGTTATTTAAACCTAAAATGCTGCTTGGGTACTTACACTATCGCGGGATTTTTAAAATGATCTTAATTTTTGTTGTAATTTAAGTTTTACATAAGTGTAATTTTAGTGGAAAACACTAAACAACTTTTTATGAAATTGGTGGGTTTTGATTGGGAAAAACATATGGATTTTTAAAAACATTTGTATGGTATTTAAAAAAGTTGAGTTAATTAAAAAAAAACAATTGATCTGCAACATTTACTATTTATGCATTTAATTGCAAATTTAGATGGTAAAAATAATTGATTCTTCAAATTGAAGTTTTCTGGATTAAAAAATAAAACTTTAAGGTCAATTGCAAAATGGTAGCGAATGTGCATCTATCAGATTCAAAATTTTCTCCAGATTTCAAATATACAAAAATATACAGGGTGTTTCTTTGGAAAAACGAAAGTTGACCAATTTTCGACGAAACCGAAAGTTTATTTTTTATTGCAAGGCGCCGGCCATTTCGTAATGAACGAATTTAATTTCTGCATTTTGGATGTCAGATTTGGATTCAGTGAACCCAAATTCCCCGTTTACAGAGAAAATTTATAATTTTTTATGTCATTAAGGTTTTGTCTAGCTAGATCATTAATTTCACACACTGTGCGATGGCATAAAAAATCATGTGCTAAACTAGGTTTTAAATTCGCAGTTCGCAGGGCTCATACGCATGTGCAAACTTTGCAAATATCACACCGTGAGTTCTACATGATATATATCACTGTGATGAAGCATGTGTATGCACTCAGGATATCACAGCGTGATAAAAAAAATCACGTTGTGATATCATCATGACTTCACCAGGAAATCCCGATTGTTGTCCGGGATATAATATATAAATATCCAAACATGTCGGTGCAGCGATGGCATAAAAAATCATGTTGTGATTTTTTATGCCCAAACACCGATAGCATAAAAAACCATGTCGTGATTTTTTATGCCATCGGTGTTTGGATATTTATATATTTATATAGGTTTTGGTTAATTATCGTTTAACTATATTTGTTGGGTTTGGTTTTGGTTAAACCAAAACCAAACCCAACAAATTTAGGATTTGTACTGCATTAAAGAAATCTTAAAGTTACCTAATTTTACTAGAACTGTTTATACTGTATAAATTATACAGAGTCCTCCTTTCCTTTATTCTATAATTGAATAGGTCAATGCAGAAACTGAATATGTCCACTTTTTAGGGATATTGAGTTAAACATGGATTTACTATAAGTAAAGGGTGCCCGATCGAATGGCGTAGAAATTTCACATGTCACGGTAATCTAGATTATACAAAGGCGTTATTATATAGTAGAGAAACTGAATATGTCCAGAACATGTCCACTTTCTGTTCAGTTTTTCTTATTTATCTCAAAACTAGATAGGTAGGACATATTCAGTTTCTGCATTGACGTATTCAATTGTATCATAAACATGAGGAAAATTCGGGTAAAATATCCACAAACGGCAACACTGCTATAAAACAAGATTATAAAACAGAAAACTGTATACAGCAATCTGAAATGTCAAAACGTTTTTTATCAGCTGTTTTTGATTGGTGAAAACGTCCTAAAAGTCAAAACGTAACTGAATGTTGTGATTCGAGCGAAACGAGCTCAGAAACTATGTTATTTGTTAAAAATGTGTCTGGATGCAATAATAACATGCCTATCTAGTTGGAAATTGTGGATACGACCTTTGGCAATTTTGTGTTATGCCGTAGCAGCGCTTGTTTTTGTGCCGCTCTTTTTGGTGAATTCATTGAAAGAGGGCTTCACCAAAAGGGACCAGGAAATTTTGGTGGCTGGTATATTTGTATGGATTGCCATACCACTTTCATTATGGGAAATTATTTTACATGTGATCAATTACACCAAGCCAAGATTACAAAAACATGTTATAAGGTAGGTTAAAAATACTTTTTATATAAAGAGTTATCAATTACAAGACCTTGCCAGTTTTTTATCTGTTTGATTAATGATTTTAATTTTTTTAGGGTATTATGGATGGTTCCAATTTATGCCATAAATGCTGTTAGTATTTTTGTATTTAATTTTTACTTTATGTTTTTCATGTAACTTTTTACAGTGGCTGGGTTTAATTTACCCAAAACACTCAGTATATGTAGATAGTTTAAGAGAATGCTATGAAGCTTATGTGATATATAATTTTATGAAATACCTTCTCAATTACCTAAACATGGAAATGGATTTGGAGGCTAGTTTAGAATTAAAACCACAGGTTAAACATATTTTTCCATTATGCTGTCTGCCGGATTGGGAAATGGGAAGGTAATAATTTTTACTATAATATTAGATATAATCAGTGCAGGTACAAAAGATGATCAAATTATATTATCAGACTTACTTTTCCAATTTAACCCTTTGCTACAACTTTTTTGTATTAAAAAATTACCTTTGGTTCATATTTGTCCCACCCAAGTTTTAAAAAATACTAGTGGTACCTACATATATAAATACATTCTAAATGTAATGATATACTGTCCCAGTCGTAAAAGGGAATTCCAGCTACTTGGTCATAGAGGCAAAAGTTGCATTCTTTGCAATGATGAAATAACCTGATACATTTTTTCATTATACTGCTGGGATATGTATTATATATGTCCCTTGAATTCATACAAGTGGGACATATGTATGTATATGTCCCAAATGTATGTAGGTCTAAAAAATAGGCCCCTAACATTATTTTGTTACAATAAATTATTTACAATGTTAACCCCATTCCATTATACCTACTTATAATTAAAAAAAATTATTTCAAAAAATTTTAACCCGTTTTTTTGGGCGTATATGACCCATTAGTAGCAAAATGGTTAAACCAACTTTGCATAATTTTGGCAATGAAGTAGAACTATATAATATATATTATACTTAAGTTTAATATATTGTATATACAGTAGGGTGGGTCAAAAAAACCGACTATTTTTTTTTTACTTTGTACTCTGAAAAATCGGTTACTAGAAACCTCTAGAGAATTCTCACCAAACATGAGCTCTTAATTTTGATAACAAGGTCCTTCGCTTTACAATTTTCCATTTTTTCCTCAGTATTAGAAACAAAAATTTATATCTCTTCGACAACTGTTCGTTAAAAAATAACTTTCCTCATATTCTTGTAGGAAATCGAACGCTCTACAAAAAAGGTCTCTTACAATTTTTTCGTAAACCTCACCGTTAAAAAGATATCGAAGGTTCAAGTTTAATTATTTTAAGAGAAATTTCTGTTTTGCTTATGAATTTTATAACTCGCTTACAAAAAATTTTTATGAATCGCGCAACTCATAGTTTTGTAGGAAATTAACTGCTCTACAAAAATGGTCTCTTATGATTTGTCAATTAAATTAAGCGTTTAAAAGATATTCATCGTCAAACTTAAATGCATACTAATGTTAACAGTTTTTGATGAATAATTCAAAAAATTACAATTTAATTTTTGAGTTTTAAGAAAATTTATACAAATTTGAGTTTCTATCGTAAAAGTTGTAGAAGTTTCCCTTTCGAAAATTTATTTGAGACCTTTTTATTTTAATAATAATTTCATGAAATTTATCTTTATAATAACTTAAAATCCTGATCAAGTTGTTATTTTTTTATTCTCTGTAGTTGATTTTTCCTGTATTTTGGGTATTTCCGTCTTTTGCGATATTTTAAGTTTTCTTTGTATAGTGGCACTTAATACATAAAATTCCTTGCCAGTTTTCGATAATATGTACCCACTTTATGTCTTGCGCTTTCAACCAATCTGTTTTCACTTAGAACTTTGGGTCGTCCACTTTTTGGTAAGTTAAAACAAGGTATTCCTTGTACGCATTCAGCTATTGTCCGATAGATTTGTTTTGAAGATATTTTCGTTTCGAAAGCCGTCCTACAAGGTTATGCTAATTACAGGAAATCTATGGAGGTTCCTCCTTTACAATTTTTGTTTTCAATTTAGTTAACAAATAGAAAAAATATATAAAAAATTTGATTGTTTGGATCTTATCCTATAACTGAAAATCTAATGAACACATATAGGTATATCACTGAGACAATTAACACAGTTAGGCTAATTTTTAACTCGAAGAAAAACAATACATATTCTATATATAGCCCAAGAAGTCCTTAAGTGAACGTGCAAAACGTGAGGTTTTTTTATTTAAGGTTATTGGGAAGCAAGTTATAATTTGTTACTCCTTAAAAAAACAGAGTTTACACCATATCAAGATCTACAAAATGTACCGACTATATTTGCTCTGGCCCTAGTGTTGTGCTCATGTATGTTAGATCCTAGGGTGAAAGTTAAGTTAGACTAGGTATCTACAATGATTTAAAACTTGATATATAAACAAATTTATTTGAAGTTTGTAAATGTTGTTGAGAGAATAAATTTTATAAATTTTATAAATTTTATAGTTTTCGGTCATCTATGGTTGTTGTATAAGTCAATTGTAGGATATTGTCTGTCTGGTTTTTAATTGATCTATTTTGAAGAATTTTTATGGGCTTAGATTTTTTTGTTGCCCTTGACCAAATGATGTTTGGGTTTTGCAAGTGTGAGTGCACCAATGCATAATAAATGGATCTTAAGTAGTCACCCGGTACAGTGTAACTAGTCTTTTTAGTATAGATACTGGTCCCATTAGTTTACCTCTTATGAATTCTATGTGGCAGCCCAATCCAATTGGTTATCTATTAATAAACCTAAAAACTTTATTATTTTACTTTCTTTTAGTATATATTTCCTGATTACTCGTTATGTTCACAGTATTTCAATCCACATAAATGATGATTTTTCGATATTTAAGGTTAGTTTGTGAGATTTTAGCCATTGGCTTATGAGATTCATATCATTAGTTATGGATTGTTTCACGTCATCAGTAGAATCACAGAAGTAAACCAATTTGGTATCGTCGGCGTAAAGTGTTACCCGTCCTCTGAGATTGAGGTTTGTGAGAGAATTTATATACATTAAAAAGTGGCCCCAAGATGGATCCTTACGGTATTCCATAGGATATTTTAAATGTATTACTTTTAATGTTACCATGTTTTTAAGAAATTTGAAACTAAAGCACTTACTCATTTTGAATTTTGACACGCTGGAAGCGCTCTCTAGCCTACCGCTGTGGTGGGAAAAGTAATTAATTCAAAGTAAGAATAAATTAGTAATAAACATTGTAAGAGAAGCAATACCTTTACGCCTAATTTACCAACACGAAGCAAGTAATTATAATTCTTAAACTTTGACTGGTTACCTGATAAAAATTCAACAGATTTAAAGGTGATTTAAAGTTGTTTCATTTTTCATTCATTTATTCATTCAAAATTCCCTAAATTTTGTCTAAAAAAACACTTTCTTATTTTGAATTTCCGCGCGCTGGAAGCGCTCTCTAGCCTCCTGTGCCACCTCTTCAATTCACGTATGAAAAAAATCCCAAAACTTTAGATGCGTTACTACATTTTGAATTACCATCACCATCTTTTTTGTTTTTATAATGGCCATTATAACTTATGTAGTGAGTTTGATACATCATTGAATTCCTTGATTTTTTTTTCCATTTAACCATGTAAATTTTCAATATGACGGCCATAGAAAAAACAAAAGATGGTGGTGAAAAAAAAATCACAAATTGAATGAGAATGTGGATAAATGTATCTATAATTATTATATTACTATTATAATAGGTTTACATGAGAAACATACTTTATTTCAAAATTGCCAGGAATAACGAAGTTATAACGATTTTTAAATGCCATTTTACCAGACTTAAAAAGCATAAGCTACAAAGGTCTAAGTGCCAATTTAAATATTTTCAGTAAACATGTAGAAAAGGTCTATATGCAATGCCTAATGATAATGGAAAGGTTTTAAGTGCCAGCGATGTATTTGACTATCCTTTTCTACATGGATAACTGAAAATAAGCTTGATTATGGTGGCCATATGCCTTCGGCTAATAAATGGTAGTTTTGTGAAAAACCGGACAACGGGGAATCCCCCTGCACCCTAGCATAGAACCTTCCTCTCGTTTTTGATATATTGTTAAAGTCGGAGCCCCAGCTTTTTAGGATACCCTTTTTATTGATGGTATTATTTCAGATGAGCTCAAATTAATGTTTAGTGGGTTGTTAAGTGTATACACGGCTATAGCCACGCTAGTTTGCACTCTTTTAGATTTAGTAGCATTTTTTGCATTATAATTGGGCGTTGTAATTTTTGTTATGGCACTGAGTCAGTCAGACAAGATGACTCCCCTGTCCACTCCCCTCAACGCCATCTCACTTACTGCTTTGTTCACCGCCGCAACCTCTGCCGTGCATATTTGGGTACTATCTGGTAGTCATGCTGCAGATTTTATAGTTAGATTCTGACTGTATACACCGAAACTGGCTTTATTTTTTATTTTTGAGGCATCTGTATATACTATAGTATGGGTATTATTATATTTATCTATTTTATTGAGGAATATTGTGTTAGTGTGGGGCTCATTTTTACTGAGACTGAGGTTTATTACCGGTAGTTTGCTGGCTTGCAGCTTGAGATCGAATTCAAAGCACGGCAAGAGGTTGCTTCGGCGAACAAATGTTGCTAGGTTTTTAATTTGTTGATATATCCCTGCAAGGTAAGTAATTTTTGAATTGGTGAGGTGGTTATCTACGCAGAGGCGACTGATTCTTTCTAGGTTGTCTAGGATTGGATAAGAGGTGTAACCTGCCATTTTGGCTATGAATTTGGATGCGATCCATTTTCCTCTGTATTTTAATGGCATTTGGGGGTTGACTTCATGCACCCTGTGATAGTTCTTAAAGCTTGATGGTGTAATATATCTAGCTTGTTGAGTTGTGATTTACTGGGAATGACTATTAAAAAACTTCCAAAATCGAGGTGTGACTTTACAAGGCCATTGAATGCCATATGTAGGGTTGCCGGGTCAGCTTCCTACGACTTTGAGCTTTATTGCTAGTTTGCTCAATTTGGTATTTCCACGTTAGGTGATTGTCGAAATGTACCCCCAGGTATCTTACTCTCTCCTTTATGTTAATCTTTATGTTGTTTATTTATATTGCCGGTGTACTATTTTTTTTCCTTTTGTGAACCAAATTCCCTCGCATTTATCGGTTGCCAGAAGTTTGTTTCCAGTTAACCAGTTGTGTATATTGTCTAGGACTTTGTTTAGTTTGTTTGTCATTATTGTGGTGTTGGTACCCCTAATAGACAGTAGAATATCGTCTGCGAAAGTTAGCAGGCTCACTCCCTCATCAACACATTCAAAGATCGATCTTGTATATATTTTGAA